AAGTTTACTGTTCCAAAGGAATTTGACAGCCTCTTCTTGTACAAAATTTTTAATACGTTCTTCATCTCTTTCTTTTCTTAATCTATAAGAATTCAAATTCCATTACTGACACAAGGAAGGGTGCTTTGACTTGCACTTCTTGTAACAACCAATAAGCACATCCACTGCAGACATTAAAAACCAAGTAACAGTCCTTTCTACTTTTAAAATATCTAAGCTGGAACAAGTTTTAAATTATGACTGAACAAATAAGTCAAATGAGGTGGAACTGAAATTCAGATTATATTGGTTCCACAAAGTATTGCCAGTGATGAAAAATACAATATTAAATGGCTCTTTATTTGGCCTCAATTTCCCACCCAAACACACAAGAGGCATCAGCTGCAGAAAGGAGTTAAGGAATAGGATAACAGTGAGAAACACCCTCTAGACTAGCAGGACTAATCCCACCAAACTTCAGTTTGCCCCAGTTTCTCATGAGCTTCTTGCTCTCACCAATCAGCCACCTCCACCTCATCCCATCACTTCCCCTACTCATTCAAGTCAGACCCTGGGCTCACTGCCACCCTCTCCATACTTATGCCTATCACACATCTAAGGCTCCCCTAGCTGCCCATTATCTCCCAGACTGTAACCATCATCTTGTTCTGAATTCTGACCCAATTCCTCACAATCTCTAGCCCCCCAAGGTCTTCTGTGCCATCTGAGACTCCTGAATTGTAATTAGCCAGCTCCCTTATACAGGGTAGTAGGCTTACAGTTGTTCATGTGGAAAATAATACAATAATTAATAATAATACAATAATGAATTCTGTATTTTTGCGTATTCACAATTGTAAGCCTACTACTGCCCCACCCTGAATAGTCAACCTCTTAGGTGAACTTTTCCTTGACCAAATCAGACACACTTCTGAGGGCATTGTAGCCCTCTCAAGTGGAAGATATCGTTTTCACTTGCCCATTAGGGTCAGGAGACTACTTCTCACTGATGTGTACAAGCTATTCTTTACCTTCCTCCTTGAGGAACTAAATCTCCCCAAACTCTTTTCAAATGTTGATTTCCCATTATCTGCCCCCATTCACTGAAGTCTCAGCACAGTCTTTCTCACTGTCCCATTCCCGTCATCATTTGTGGAGACCTCAACATTCCCATGGATGCTCTAAGAATAATCCACCCTCGTCACTCCTTCTCATTGTCTCATTCGAGGCCCAGTCATTTATTTTGACACCACCATTTTAAAAAAATGGCCTCAAGTACCCACACAAACCACTACCTCCCATCTTCCCAGTTCACCTGCTCCTCCACCCCAGTGCAACAATCTAGACATCTAATCTTCACCTAGACTTGGTTCATAGGTGGATGCTCAACCACTGAACCACCCCTGCCGGGCTCTTACCTCGTTTAAATGCCAAGACCTGTCATTATAATAATCACCCCCAAATATCTTCAACTCCTTGCCCTTCCCTCTACAACTAGGAAAAATCATACCTGTATGGACCAAAGTAACCACCCCCATCAGAATAGAACGGCAGAGAACTGAGGAAAATCATACCTGACCTATTGTTTTAAGTTTTCCTCACACTGTCCAGCAATTCTCCTCCATTCCCCTTATAAGCTCATTTTTAAAATGAATACCTCACACTTCTCTCCATAAACCTTCCACATCCTCACTCCTCTCTTCATTTTTAAATGTTGACCACATCTTATGCGTCACGATTCAAGGAGAGGCATCCATCACACAGGACTTGCCCATCCCTCAGCATCAAAACCTATACCTCATGTCTGCTCCAGCCTCAGCCCACTCCCTCTACTTGCACACTGGATCCTGTCCTCTCTAATCTTTTCAAAAACTTCAAGCCTACATGTCTTTCTTTCCTCTGAACCATCAGTTCTTCCCTCTTTATTGAATCATTTCCATCAATACATAAACATGTTCTTTATCTCCTATCTGTAATTTTTTCCCCCTTAACTCCATATTCTCCTCCAGCTCCTCTCTTCCTCACAGCAACACATCCCAAAAGAGTTAGCTACACTCACTTTCTACCTCTCATTCACTCTCAACCTATTCCAGACTGCCATCATCCCACAATGCCACCAAAGCTGTTCTTCAGAACCTCACTGGGCAGGAAAGGTTAATTCAGCAGCCTGGAGTGTTCAAACTCTATGTATTCTCAAGACAGAAGTGCCCTTGATTGGCTCCTAGGAGGTAACCTGTTGAGCCCTGGGAACCTAAGCCCTTGGAATGTCCCATTGGTAAGAGTATCTGTATACATAGGTGGGACTTTGAACTAAACCAGATAGTTTATGCTAACGCTGTGCTTTCTAGTGAATAAGTGTTTTGTTTTTTAAGTTTTACTTATTGATTTTAGAGAGAGAGAGAGAGAAGAGAGAAACATCAGTTTGTTCTTCCACTTACTTACGCATTCATTGGTTGATTCTTGTATGTGCCCTGACTGGAGATCAAACTCACAACCTTGGCGTATTGGGGCAACACTCTAGTCAACTGAACTACCTGGCCAGGTCTGGTGAGTAAGTGTTTTTGCTCAGTCTGTATCAGTCTGAACAGTGAAGGTCAGTCACTGTCTATATGGCTGAGCCCTAATAAAAACCCTGGGCATGAAGACTTGAGAGTGACTTCCCTGGTTGGCAGTGCTTCCCAGGTATTGTCACACATCGTTGCTGGGAGAATCAAGCCCTGCCCTTACAACTCCACCAGGAGAGGACACCGAGAAGCTTGTGCCAGGTCTCTCCTGGACTCTGCCCCACCTATCTTTCTCCTCTGCTGACTTTAATGTGTGTCCTAACCTTTCATTATAATAAACCATAATCATGAACAGAATAGCTTTTCAGAGTCCTTTTAGCAAATCACCAAACCTGAAGATAGTCTTGGAGCCCCAACACAGCCACCAATAACCCCAGCTTCTCAAGCTAATGTACACTTCTCTATCCTCCCTACAGCACCTCTCTACTCTCCTAAAACATTTCCCTGTTGGAGCTGGGACCACTCCAGTGGTATTTACCACTCTGGCTGTTCCTTCTCAGTCTCATTTACTGCCTTCTCCTCTCCCACCTGATGCTATTAATAGCTGTTGCTGGCTGGAATACTAATACTCAAAATAAATTTTGAAATCTTAATTTTTCTGAGTCAGCAGTCAGTAAAACAAGTGAGCCACGGAATTAAGGCATAATTCCTACCACTGCCCCAGTATTTTAACCCCTTTTAAATTCCTGCTCTTTTCTTTAATTCTCAGGTCACCTAGTTAGTTCTATGTAGACTTTCTCATTTTTATACTTATCCAGTTTTTCTACATTTTCTGTTCCTTTGTGTGTTTAGGTTTAGAGATGCCTTAAAGGCATGTATTCACTCAGCATTACTGCTATGCTGCATCTATGTACCGACATGGAGATGCACGTGACAGTGTCTGCCCTCGAGATGCTGTCAGTGTACTGTAGGAGACAAGTTAGCCAGGTGTGGCAACGTGGTATGAATGTGTCCCGAGCACAGCAGCACTGATTCAGTGTTCCGAATCAGCTCGAAGAATGACGCCCCCAAACCAACAGCACAGCACCTGACAGGTCTTTGACTCACCTCCTTACTTCGTCGGTGAGGCAGACAATGTGCTCCTGCATTCTGCGCAGCCGGATTTCATAGCGCACGCCTTTAGCTTGAGGGCTATAGTTCCTGGCATAAAAGCCCCGCCAACAGGCCTGCAGTGTGGTGGCTGCTTCATTCAGTTTCTGAAGGGCAACTTGATCTTGTCCCAAAGCAACAGAGCTCTGGGGGAAAGCCCTGCAAGGAAGTTCTTCTGAAGCAGTTTCAGATATGGTTTCTTTTCTGTCTGGTTTTGCATGTAAGACACTGTGTCCAACTGGCTCAGGAGAAGATAAAAGGCTGTGCATGTCAACTTTCGAGAGAGCACTGGCTACTGCTAGCTCAGGGCAAGGTACCAGCCCATCTTTCTCACTGACCTCTGCACTGACTGCACTTTTCATCATTTGAACAGAATTCTCGTTTGTAGCCCACAAAGCTTTTTCCTCTTCTGTACCCAATTCCTGGTCTTCCTGCCCTTTCACGGCGTCATTTGTACCATCTTCTAGGCCCAAGTCAATGTCTTGTAGCCGCAGCTCAACTGTAGGTGATACTGGGGAGAGCCCTGATGCAACCGGCATAAAAGTAGACTCTGAAGAGAGAAGACTACAGTTCAACTTGTCCTCATCTGTCTGTATGTCTTCCAGGTGCAGGTCATTTCGAGAATACTTTGTAGTATGTAGAGAGGCTGGAAAGTTACTCCTAACGGCATATAATTGATCATCATTACTGCTTATCCCAACCCAAGAATTTACTTGGATGACGGGGTCTAAAAGAATCAACAGAGTATCATTGAAACCACAACATATGTAAAGTTTTTGTTTTCTTAAATTTCAGCTCCATCAAGGTGTAACTGACATACAAAATTGTAAGATATTGTAAGTATACATTGTGGTGATTTAACATATGTATATGTTGTGAAAGATTCCTGACATCTGGTTAATTAAAACATCAATCACCTCACATATTATTTGTGTGTGTGAGTTAAGACGTATTTTTCAGTTACATCTTTTTAAGAAAATTTAATCCTTGAAATAGAGTAAAATGCAATAAAATGCCTTCATTGATTCCTCCAATAAGCCTAAAACATCAAACCAAATATTTTTAAGAAAATAATTTCTTTCAATAATCATAATAATCAAAGTATCAGATCAATACAAAAAGTGAAGTGCTCTGAATTTTTAAAAATATTTATGATATACATACCTACATATATATGTATGAGTGTATATACATGTATATATAAAATATAAGATTCAAATGACCACTTAAGTTAAAAAACTAATAAAAATTATGAAAATATGCACCTTTTCTGTTTTACGATGCTCAACGGATCAAATAATTTGAAGAAAACAGATTAATTACTTTCTTACCGCACTCCTGGACTGTCTGGCAATCTTGAAGGGGGCTTGAATGCTCTGGTGCCTTTGTTTCAGTAGGAGGAAGACAAGACAACTCTTCATTTTGGCTTTGGTTCATTAACTGCCTCTGATGAAACCTAAACGTCAACAACATCGGATGTGATTTAACAAACACCCAGAAAAGCAAGCTTTTATGCTTCCTATCAGAAAGGTAGAAGTTTACAATCTTCAAAGTAGATACCTCTAATCACCACCAAATTACAAAGTCTCATTCAAAAGCACTGGATAGGAAGGGTTAAGGAACTTATTTTTAAATCACATAGACAGATAGCTCATATACATACACTTGTACAAACATTTAAGGCAGGATCTCTGATTTAAAAAATAAAAGTAACTAAATGCTTCTAGCTATATTTCTTTTCTTCTTTTTTGCTCATCCCCCACCCCTACACACACACACACCCATCCCTTCCCCCTTCCCTCTCCCCTCCAGAGCTGTCTGCCTGCCTTCTTTGCTTAGTAGTTCAGTTAATTCATTAAATTCTACATATGAGTGAAATCATATGATACTTGTCTTTCTCTGACTGGCTTATTTCATTTAGCATAAGTTCTCTAGGTCCATATGTGCTGTTGCAAAGGATAAAATGTTCTTGCTTTTTACAGCAGAGTAGCATTACATTGTGCAAATATACCACAGTTTTTCCATCTACTTGTCTACTGATGGACACTTGGGCTGCTTTAAATCTTGGCTATCTAAAAGGGTAATATGCTAATTAGACCGGAGAACTTCTGGACATCCTTCCGGACAAGGCCATGGAGGAGGTTAGGGGCGATCAGGCCAGGAGGGGAGGGCAGTTGGGGGTGATCAGTCTGGCGGGTGGGGCAGTTGGGGTTGACCAGGCCAGCAGGGGGGAGTAGTTGGGGGTGAGCAGGCCAGCTGGGTAGGCAGTTGGGGGCAATCAGGCCAGTGGGGGGCAGGGGGGAGTTGTGGGGGAGCAGAATGGCAGGCAGAGTGGTTAGGGGCAATTGGGCAGGCAGGTGAGTGGTTAGGAGTCAGTGATCCCGGATTATGAGAGGGATGTCCCAGATTGGAGAGGGTGCAGGCCGGACTGAGGGACAGCCCCCCACACCACCATGAATTTCGTGCACCAGGCCACCAGTTGTAAATAACACTGCAATGAACATAGGGGTACATATATTCTTTCAAATTGGTGTTTTGGGTTTCTTTGGATAAATTCCCAGAAGTGGAATCCCTGGATCATAAGGCTGTTCCATTTTTAATTTTTTGAGGTAATTCCATACTGCTTTCCACAGTGGCTGCACCAGTCTGCATTCCCACCAACAGTGCACAAAGATTCCCTTTTCTCCATATCCTCACTAACACATGTTGTTAGCTATACTTCTTAATGTATTTAAAAGCCCAAAAGGAACACCTACATTAAAAGAACAGATCCATTTTAAAAAAAATTCCATCCTCCCATATTGCTTGGCTCTCCCCAGGCATGATTAGCAATGCGGCTGCTGTGGAGCAAACTGGATTGCACTGTGTGGTTCAGTTCCCTGCCCGCCTGCTACAGTGACAAGGGGCCAAAACGCTCAGAAATGTGGGTGCACATGGATGGACCTGGAGAGCATTATGCTAAGTGAAATAAGCCAGTCAGAGAAGGATAAATATCATGTCACCTCACTCATTTGTGGAATATAACGAACAACATAAACTGATGAACAAAAATAAATCCAGAGACATGGAAACATCATACATTCTGTCAAACCTCAGAACGAAAGCATGGGAGGGTAGGGGTGGGGGGTGTGGGCTGCAGCACTGGCCTCAGTCCCACTGACCCCGCAGTAAAGACCCAGAGGTATTTTCACTATGAATTCATCAGCTGCTATAAACAAGTGGGCTCACCTCTGCTTGCTCAGAATCTTCTCTAGCTTGGCATCCTCTGCTGTTTGAAGACCCAGTGTAGAAGTAAGAGGACAGACCAGAGCTAGATACTGGACAAGCTGGACATGCTGGCCAGGCCGATATGCTCTCCCCTTGCCTTGACTATAGAGCCATTCAGCTTTCAAACTGGAATTGGGGGACATAAAGAGAAGGTGACACCAGGTAGATAGTACTAGCATACAATTTTAAGCAATATGATCTCCCATCTTAATTACCTTTATAGCATTGTTGGATGTTTTTCATAAATAAAACTCACTCAACTTTTAATCGATCCTTCTGATTCACTCTTAACATGACTCAAACCTTTTTTCTTGCTTAGGGGCATTTCCATAGATTTGTACTAATGGTTCCAACTATTTCAAAATTATTTTCAAAGAAGCAATACGTATTCCCTCCATTCACTGTTAAACTGAAGTACCCAAATATATTACAGATGACATGTGATAATAGTATTATAGTTATTTCTTGAAGAGCCCTTATCTTTTAGAGATATATACTGAAATATTCACAGATGAAATTATATGTAATCTGAGATCTGCTTAAAAGTAACACAGAAGAGGAAGTAGGTGAAGTATGTTTAAATGAACAAGGTTGGCCATGAGTTAAAAACCACTGAAGTTAGATATTGGATTTGTGGGAGGTCATTCTATTACTGTTTATTTTTCCACTAGAGGCCCTGTGCATGGATTCGTACACAGGTGGGGGGGGTCCCTCGGCCTGGCCAGTGATCAAGGCCAATCGGGGCCCAGCCAGGGGGAGGGACGCAGGAGGTTGGCTGGCTGCAGGAGGTTGGCCAGCCACAGGAGGTTGGCAGTGGGAGCACACTGACCACCAGGGGGCATCTCCTGCATTGAGTACAGTCTGCCCCCTGGTGGTCACTGTGTCGTCATAGCGACTGGTCGACTAGTTGTTCAGTCGACAAGTTGTAAGGGTCGCTTAGGCTTTTATATATATATATAGACACATGTTTGAATTGGTTTATTTATTTACTTTTGTTTAACATGCCATTGCCTTAATTTTGCCATTCTTAAACTTGGCCCTCAACTTGAAGTTGAGGTTGGATCATTTTGATATACTTGGTTTCTCTGTTTTTATACAATTAGCTAAGCATTGCAGATAGTTTGAAAATCACTGCCAATTCTCGACTATTTCCTTGGACCTTCATATCAAGGTATCCACATCATACAAACTGTACTGTCCAAAACTGTCAAGCCACCCAAGGTCTATTATAGACTGAAGAGAAACTGTCCTCTTGATACCTGGTTAAATCCTGCAAAGGAGTCATGGTGCAATACAATATAACAAGCTTAGTTAGCAATCTTCCAGGGTCACAAGAAAGGAAAGACTGCTTTCCTTCAGTGATATATGTGGTATGCCAAGTAGATTAACTAAGTCAGATAACCCATTCTTAGTCTAATAAAATGTTTATTCTATTTCATAAAAACAGTTAAAATAAAGATCATTCAGAATCTTCATGAAATCTGCTCTAAGTTTCCATAAGTTCTGCCAAGCAAATCACTTGTTGAAAAGCTCTCCCTCCAAAAAGGTCCACAGCAAATGGCAACTGTCAACTTGAACATAACCAGCGAGCAACACTTCCATGTTGTAGATGGCGTGTAGTCTGGGATGAAGGAGCAACAAAAGTAAAATGACAAAGAAGGCTCAGGCTCCAGTGCCCCACAGTATAAGTGTGAGAAAAACCATAAACTGTGGAGCATCAGTGAATGTAAAATGTTTTTCTTGCCTTTGCTTTTCATTCATCAAAAACATACCATTATACAAATGTATGAATCCATAAAATTTTCTCCTGGGTAAAAAAACTCCCTGCCAATTAAGATACCATTGCCAACAAAAAGAAAAACAAAATTAACATTCATTCAGCTATAACATGACTTTCAAATCACTGGAATATGATATTTCTCTTGAAATTAAAGGAACAGTTTACATAATATAACAGAAGTAACAACTATTAAAAGAGAAAATGAAAACAACCTGCTCTTTAAAAAAAAAAAGAGTATTGAATAAAATGATACTGGTATTTGCTTTTAAAATACTCTAACATGCCATAACTGGTTTGGCTCAGTGGACAAAGAGTCGGCCTACGGACTTAAGGGTCCCAGGTCTGATTCCGGTCAACGGCCTGTACTTTGGTTGCGGGCACATCCCCAGTGGGAGGTGTGCAGGAGGCAGCAGATCGATGTTTCTCTCTCATCGATGTTTCTAACTCTCTATCCCTTACTCTTCCTCTCTGTAAAAATCAATAAAATATTTAAAAATAAATAAAAATAAAATAAAATACTCTAACAAAAAAAGTGGGGGATAGATGAAACAGGATCGGCAAAATGCTGGTAACTCTGGAGGCTGCATGGTGGGTACTGAGATGTTCCTATGTTAGGTACTCTCTCTACTTCCCTATATTTTGAATATCTTTTCAAAAAAAAGAGAAACATCTCCAAAGTTCTGCTTCCTAACTAGGCTCTGATCTCTAAGCAACAGAGGCATAGTTGTGTCCTGTAAAGAGTAAAACAGATGGAAACAAATTCAGAAAGAAATCCAAATTCTCAGGTGCTATACAAAGGTGCTGGTCTTTCCACAGCTGCCCTTCTCCCACAGAAAGCACTAGCCAAAGCACCACAGGGGGGTGACTGCTCAGTGACTCTTTCTATGACACACACACTTAAGATGTGGCTACCTGAAGTCATCCAAGAAACTAGGATACTTCTCATGAGGGAGAAAAATTTAACCTGGATGTTTTTAGGAAATAACAGGCCGAGTACATATGAAAACTGGAAAGTCCTTCCTATCCTCAGGACAATCCCCAAGATTGGCCAGGAGGATGTTTTGAACACTGCGCAGGCTACTCAATGATTTTTAAGACAATAGTTCTCCCTTAGCCTAATTCCTCCCCCCTGAATAGCATATTTCCAGAGATACTCTAAAACATGGGAGTACAGTGTAGACTCCAGGGCTGTCTCGGACATCACCTGCAATAGCATTTTTCTCACTAGTGTGGCATCAATAACAATCTAGATTCTTTAGTCTGAATATTTCTATTTACCCATTCTTCCATGGACTGGCATTTGGGTCATTTCTCAAATGTCCCAAAGAGCTCCCAGTGTTTGAAGCTATTATGAATAGGCTGCTATGGACACGCTTGTCCATATCTTTTGGTAGACAGAGCACCCATTTCTGTAGGGTATAGACCAGAAGTCAAACTGTTAGGCTACAGGGAATGTATCTGTATGTTTAGCTTCAGTAAATACTGCCCGTTTTTCAAAGTGATTGAACCACATACATTCCTAGAACAGTGTATGAGAGTTCCAATTGCTCCACGTACTCAGCAACACTTATTTGTGAGTATTGTCCATCCTTTTAATTTCAGCTACTCTGGCGGGAGCTGGTTGATTTACAGACTCCATAATAACCAGGAAAGATAATAATCTTTCTGGATTATCAAAAAGTCAAAATAGCCCTAGCTGGTTAGGCTCAGAGGTTAGAGTGTTGGCCTGCGGACTAAAGGGTCACAGGTTAGATTCTGGTCAAGTGTCCGTATCTTGGTTGCAGGCTCAATCTCATGCCCCAGTCAGAGTGTGTGCAGGAGGCAACCAATCAATGTTTCTCTCTGTCTCTCCCCGTCCCTTCCATTCTTTCTAAAAAATCAATAGAAAAATATCGTCAGGTGAGGATTAACAACAACAACTAAAAGCCAATACAATGGTTATCTCTAGCAGGGAGGGGAGTTTTATGATGGGAGTGGGGCAAAGGAGATCTCTGGAGTGCTGGCTGTTCCATACTCTCAGTGGGGATGATATGGGTATTTGTAAATATCCTTTTTGAGACTAGACCTGAATTATGAAACTTTTTTCTTTAATCTGGGGGAAAAGAACTCATCTGAGAAAGGGTTGTTAGTGTGCTGCCCTCCCCTCTGCCTCCCTCCAGACTTCAGTGCAGGGCCCTCACACAAAGGGAGGCCACCCAAGTGAATGCACTGTTTCCTAACCCCTGGAGTCTCTGAAGTTAAACAGGAAGTTCAAAGAAGTACAAATTTCCTGAAAGTCACCTGTTAAAACCACTTTCACAGTGTAGAAACATAACCTTTGTATTATTATTCACCGACTCAACAAATATTTTGTTTCTTAACACTTGCTTTAGTTCCTTCAAATCACTTCAATCCCTACTCCCTATCCAAAAGTAATGACTTATCATATATTAAGCACCTAGTGTATGACCAGTATTATGCTATTTATATCCTCTATCCTCATTACCTTGAGAGTGAGGTAGTATTCCCCACGTTTGACAGATGAGAGACTAAGGCTTGGAGAAGCCAAGGGCCCTGCCCAGGCCACACAGCTAATGGGTGGCAGGGGAAGATGTGATGAAGCCTTCTCTTGTCTCTCTTCACCAGGGCTCATCTCCCTTCCAGGTCTCTCTTTATGCCAGACTCTCATTTCTAACCATCTCTCCATGCTGCCTCCCACATGTGAAAATGTTGCCTACTCCCACAGAAAAATCCAACAACTTCTTTCACTTAAAGAAAGATCTGGAGAAGATAATCCAAGTAAATCCATATTCCAGCTTTAGAACTACCCACAGTTGGAAACAAAATAAGGTTCATGCGTACATGGCAACACTTACTACAGGATAAAGGAAAAAGCCACACTTTTTGGTAGGCAAACTAGACTTGACATTAAGTCCCCCACCCCACACCAGCACCACCACTGTGTAGCTCCTGGTTGCTATTCCTCACTGCCCCTTGCCCGATTCAGCAACTAGACGAAACTGCAGGGAAAAGAAAAGGAAAACCCTGTGATCTACCACTCATCCCCTCATTAGGAAACCCCTCAAGGGCCTGCTGCCAGTCTCCAGGACAAAAGGGCAAAAAAAGGTGAGGAAGAATGTATGTGCTGAGTCTATAATGGCATGTACATATGCATTGAGAGGAGGAAGTGAAGTGAGGCACAGAGATGAGCATAAACTCACTTCAGTTCTCACAATCCCCTCTAACTCCAACCACTTTGCCCACATCCTAGCTCCTTACCTCCCCTAAGCCTCTAACTCCACTGATCATGTGCCAGCGTCCAAAAGACCCCACCAGGCAGGGTCCCGACTCCAAGGTGCGAAAACCATCAATGATCTACAGATGAGGGAGTCCTCGTTTCTACTGCTTCACAGGTAGGAAAGGGGAGGACCAATCAGCAAGTCTGGTACCAGCTCCCACCTGGAACTGCATACATTTTCCCAGAGTCTCTGTTATAAAGGGTAGTTGGGTCCTAAGTTATTTTTAATTCTGCCTTACATATCTGGTGAATTGCAAGCTTTTGTGGGACTGATCTGAGACCCAACCTCTGGAACTGAAATTCTTTTGTAGAAAGGATAGAAAATCCTAAGCAAACAGCACAGAGTCTGCTGTATGACTGCACAAGGATATTCATTTTAAATGCACATTTAAAGAAATATTCAGTTTATTAATCTGTCGAAAGCTAGAAATGGTCTTTTTAGTAACTTGCATGGTAAATGTGATGTTAAAAAGGTCATGTTCACCTTTCTTTCTGAGAAATCACATATCCATCCAGGACTCTGAGGTTTAAGCACCAGCTGACGATGTACGGCCGATAGTCGAACCCTGGAATGGAAGGTGTTGCCATCACACAAGGATTGCTCATGATCGACAACTGTTCCAATTCACTTAAGGATGCCAAAAAAGAGATCTGGAACAAAGGATATGTCTGTTGAACAAATCGGACTATTCAGTGTCAAGCACAAGGCTTTCGTGATTACACATCTTTGGCAATTTGAGAAAGTAACAATTCCCCTCTTGTTCTGAAAAGCGACAAGTAACACTCTTATATTATCCACCGACTTCCAAATTCCAACGATATGGCCATCTGCCCTTGCTGCACAAAGTCGCTTAGAAAGCATCAGCACTGCGTCCCAGCAAAGACAACTGAAAACCTAATAGCAGCCAGAGGAAGGTGCACAGTGTGCCCTAACCTCTTTAGTGTAGATGTCCCTCTACCTCCAATCACTTACAAATGGAATAACTGCACATTACATATGAAATTATGCTTTCATGATCCACTGACATTAAGAAAAGAAAATGGAAGGAAAAATAATGATCAGCTAGAGCCAGTGTTTCATCTTGATGCAGTTTCTTCCAAGAGGCTCACAGTCCAACAGTGAGCTCACAACTTTCTCCTGTGTTTCTCCTCCTTTCTCACAACTTTGCAGCTTCTTGGTTTCCAGAGAACACCCTCAAATTTTACCTCATTTAAGTCCCGAATTCCATTTTCCGCCAAAGAAAGGATAGCGAGACTTCTCGGTAGATAAGCCGGTACCATTCTAAGAGAGGTGATGATGTTTCCATGTAAAAGCAGGGTCTTAAAAGTAAAAACAACATGACTTACAAATGAAAAGATTATAAATGAATGGGTCTATTTTGACAAAAACCAAAATGGTATGTGTGAAAACAGGGACCTATTTTATTATACATCTCATAGCACACAAATCAAAGACTTAATGGTAGAAGAGTCATGCGTTGTTGTCTGGTCCTCTCTCTTTCTTGTCCACATTCTAAGCCTAAGAAACTTTACAGACTTGTCCAAGAACACATGCTAGGGGTAGCAACTAGCATTTCATGAGATTTAGTTTATTAAAACTTGAGCAATTTCCAACAAACGGTTCATTACTTTTTAAAACATCAATATAGAGGTTGAGAAAGAAACAGAAAGAAAACACTTATTAAAACAACCATGTATAAAGCAAATTTTCCAAAAGAGAAGGAGGAAGGGAGAAAGAAAGGGAGGGGGGAAGAGGGGAAGGGAGGGAGGAGGAGAGGAAGGGAGAAAGGGAGGGAGGGAACACAGAATCCATAATTTGCTCTAATTCCCCTGATGATGTGCCAGCGTCCAAAAGACCCCATCAGGCAGGGATCCCAACTCCAAGGTGCAAAAACCATTATGACCTAGAGATGAGGGAGTCCTCATTCCTATTGCGTCAGGGGAAAGGGAGGACCAATCAGCATGTCTGCTACCAGCTCCAAACTGGCACTCTGCATGCATTTTCCCACAGAGTCTCTGTATTCTCTTGGAAACTAGCATGTGCTACTCGCACATGAAGCTGACTCAAGGTCAGCAACAATGTGGACCCAAAATCTCTCTGAACACCCAGATTCTAATAAGATAATCATGCCTCTTAACTGTTACTTATTTGGTTGCATGATACATTTTCCTCCATAAAATGTGCTATATGGTACAGGTTTATTTTTTAAAATTAAAGTGAAGATAACTTTGATAACTTAATAATACCTGTTACTAAAAAACAACAGCAATTCCGAGCGTCAAGAACACAGGCTCATGTTCAGGAATAATTATGCTCAACCTCGCCAATATGTACTTACTTCAAAGCTGCTAGCAGGCTGGTTGGACATGAAGGGAATTTCATGTTTGAAGGATAGTAAATAAGAATTAACCTTAATTACAATTACCAGTTTTAATTACATCAGTTATAGACACTAAAAACAAAAAGTTTCACACTGTAATAGAATTTTTATTGTAATGAACACAGTCTGTTCTTCATATGTAGTAGGCTGCTTTAAAGTCAAACAGATAACTTTCTATTGGTATTTTAGTATAAAATTTCAGAAATGACATAGAACACACACTTACCTTCAGTGATACCAACTTAGATATATCACCTATCTGGGGTAAGTTATTATCTGATAAATCGAGGTGCTGTAGAGCTGTGCAGCTATTGATTTGCTCCATGGCCTAGCACAAGAAAATTATTATGTCAGTTTACGCAAACAAAATCAAAATAAAGCAACTTCCTTGGTTTCTTGTAGCTGAGTCTCCTGCCTCCTCTGCTTATTTATTTATTTTTAAAAATATATTCTTTATTGATTTCAGAGAGGAAGGGAGAAGGAGAGATAGAAACATCAATGATGAGAGAGAATCATCGATCGGCGGCCTCCTGCATGCCCCCTCCTGGGGATTAAGCCCCCAACCCGGGCACGTGCCCTTGACTGGAATCAAACCTGGGACCCTTCAGTCCGCAGGCCAATGCTCTATCCACTGAGCCAAACCAGCTAGGGCTCCTCTGCTTATTATTGGAAGCAGAGGAGTGGTGCTTAGCAAGAAAAAGAGAAAACAAAGCTAACAGAATTTGGCAAAATGTTATGGAGCAAGCTCCCACCTTCATTATTGCTCTCAGAGTAGAGGATCATATCATCCCAGATATTCAGAAATTAAAGAAACCATAGTGATGTCACATGATAGCTGAGAGGGCAAGGACTTTACAAGTTAAGAGGGGAGACAAACTCGCTGGATTCAAATCCTGATTGTAATCCTGGCTGTGTGACCTCAAGTAAGTTACTTAACTTCTCTACTCTTTGGTTTCCTCATCTATACTTGCTTCAAACACTACCTACCTCAGAGGCTGTCATGAGACTGAGTTAATACAGTTAAACTGCTTAGAATAGTACCTAGGCTAAATTAATTGTTCAATAAAAGTCAACTGTTAATAATATCATTTAATCCAGTCCCCTCAACTAGCATATCAAAATGTAAGACACAGAGATATTTATTAACTTGCCCAAAATTATAGAGCTCCTAAGTGGTGGAAGCAGGATTAGAATCCAGAACCCCACTTTTAAAACAGTGTATTCTCCACTATACCATTAAACATTTACTTAAAGCTTAATGAAGCATAATATAGTCTTTCTCCTAACATTTCATTCTGTTTGATCCATTTTTAAGTATAAAATAGATTCCTTGTTCACATTTAAAAGAATATTATACTGTTATGTGTTTTAAAATAAGATTTTTTTAGTTTATGTTAACTGAAATTATCCCTGCACAGTATGAGCGGGTACTTTCATTTTTTTTTTTTTTACTCTATTCATTTTTTTTTAAATATATATTTTATTGATTTTTTACAGAGAGGAAGGGAGAGAGAGAGAGAGTCAGAAACATCGATGAGAGAGAAACATCGATCAGCCGCCTCCTGCACATCCCCCACTGGGGTTGTGCCCGCAACCCAGGTACATGCCCTTGACCGGAATCGAACCTGGGACCTTCCAGTCCGCAGGCCGATGCTCTATCCACTGAGCCAAACTGGTTTCGGCTACTCTATTCATTTTTAAACTGCTTGAATTTAGTTTTTACAGTGAATACTTTTGTAAATTGAAAAAACCTCAAACATAATTACTTAAAAAAACCCACAAAACAAAAAAACCCAGTTCACCTTGAGATTATTTCCTGCCAAATTCAGCCACTCCAAATGTACTAGTTCCTTTAGCCCTTCCACATAGCCAATGCTATTATGAGGCAAATTTAATACCCGGAGTTGGGTCAGTTTGGCCACACCCATCATCCGTACCAGCCGATTATTAGCCACTGACAACTGTGGAAAGGAAACATATCATTACTCTTTGGAATAAAATATAGATTATTTTCACATTAAGGTGCTTAAAAAGATTTGTTTATATGGCCAAACATGTCCAAATATATAAACCCAATCTGTACTTTTCACATATGCTGTTTAGGTATATATTCTAGAGCAGGGGTCCTCAAACTTTTTAAACAGGGGACCAGTTCACTGTCCCTGAGACCGTTGGAGGGCCGGACTATAGTTTAAAAAAAACTATGAACAAATTCCTATGCACACAGTGGTGGCAAAAACACCCGGTGGGCAGGATAAATGTTTTCGGCGGGCCGTAGTTTGAGGACCCCTGTTCTAGAGTAATTATTAGCTTGTTGATGCTGCTGCTGCTACTCCTAAGCAATGGAAAATACACATAACCCTCAGCAATAACATCTCCTCCAATTACAAAAGGGAAAACATTGCTAACACAGCAACTACTTGAGAATACAAGCTCCACAGAATGCAGTCCTTAAACTGTCTCAGTCAAAATCTAGAATAGTGCCAGACATATATGGGGCACCCAATTACATTTGTTGCATGAATGAACCCTTTGCCCCTATCATGAGGTACAAGGCTATCCTAACACAATATTTTACTAACATAAAATGTTGGCTTTTTAAAAACAAATGCCTCTGTTTCTAGTCCACCCTAAATGTAGCACATATGTGTTCATCTTCAGGAGAAACTGTCATGTAAAGATTTAAGGCAACATTTACTACTTTCCAAGCCTGCACAGTTACTTTTTGCTTGGTTATTTTATTAGATATAATAAACTGGTTCTAATATAACTATTTCTCCAGATACAATACTTACCTGTATTAATCGACTGCATTTCTCAAGATTTTCCAATTTGATAATCTGATTTTTATCCAAAATCAAAGTATGAATGTCAGCTTCACAGGGTAAGTTTGCACTTAATTTCTGTAGCCCCTTCCCTGACCAATTGACCACTAACCCTAGAAAAGAGAAAGGAAACTATTAGAAAACACAAATACTACCCCTGAGCACAGGGATGGAATATATATATATATATATAATATATATATATATAATCTCTTGTGAAAGCCTCAGCAATCGAACGACTGGTCGACCAGTTGTTATGCTGCTCAAGTTCTATGATGAAATACTTTTGAATTCTTCACATTTAAACATAAACTAGTATTTCCACATTCTGTGGCTAAGTAATGATAGTATTTTTAAGTGGAACTCATCTTTTGCTAGAGATCAACGTACATACAGTCCAACTACCAGTATATCCTATAGCAGTGATGGCAAATCTATGACACGCGTGTCAGAGGTGACACATGAACTCATTTTCTTGGTTGATTTTTCTTTGTTAAATGGCATTTAACTATATACAATAAATATCAAAAATATAAATCTTTGTTTTACTATGGTTGCAAATATCAAGAAATTTCTATATGTGACACGGCACCAGAGTTAAGTTAGGGTTCTTCAAAATGCTGACACGCCGAGCTCAAAAAGTTCGCCATCACTGTCCTATAGTGCCCCAAATCAAAGTATATACTTCAGTTAATTTATCCACAAAATGGGAATAATGCACCTAATTCATTAAATTGATGGGGGGGGGGGATGAAAAGAGAGCACTTAGTCCCATCCCTAGCTCACAGCACTCACTAAAGTAATTCGGTACAAAAGACGTTCAAATTCTGGCTCCACTACTTCACCATTGTGGTGTCTTGGGCAAGTTACTGATCTCTTTGGGGCTCACTTTTCTAATCTGTAAGATAGATTTGATAATAATACCTGCGTTATCATGGTGTATACAGAGAAAACAAGATGACGTAAAATAAAATAAAAAGCAATGGAAACGTCTTCTAACTCACATAAAACGTGCTGTATAAATGTTAATTGCTCCTACTCTAAGCTGCCTTGGGAGGGCCGGGGAGGTGGAGTTTTTGAGAAGCAGATATCAGAGGGAGGCGGGGCCCTGAGAAACTGCCAATTTCACAATTATACCCAAATTAAGACCACGGAGGGAAATAATTACTCGAGAACGCGCTCCTGAAGAGATGCAATGTTTTCCCATTGTCTCTAATGACTTCTAGCATTTGGGGTTGGGGGCTGGAGGGAGTCATGGGATTTTGAGAATTTTGGAGCAAGCTGTGTACTGGGTCCCAAGAAAACGCACAGCTTTTGCACACAATTCCAAGGAGTCCACAGACTGCTTAGAACCACCGATTGCCCCCCTGTCCCCCAAAATATAATGAGCCCCTGTTCTAAGCCGTGGAGAAAGGCTCCACTCGACAGCGGGGCGGGCCCTCAAACTGACTGCACAGCCGAGCCTCAGAACTGGAAGCGCTGTAACCAAAACAAAGGAGCTCGGTTCCCGCGGCTCCAGGTCACAGACGCACCCGCGCCCCGCACCCCGCCGGGCAGCGACCAAACCCGGCCCGCGGGTCCCGTCTGCAGAAGTAGGGGTGCAGAACTGTAGGCTCTGGATCACCCCCAGATTTTATCAGAGCCACCGGACACTTCCAAGAAAGGGTTCAACGTCAGTCTAGGGAGCTGGGCTTGATAGAGGGTGTCCCGAATGTTCTAGAACCGAGGGAAAGGGGGACAGTAACGTGAGAGCGGGAGATCCTGCAGTTTTCACTTGGGCACCCAGAACTCAAAGTAGACACCCTAGAAAGGTCACCGCAGTCCGAAACCCACCACCCAAGTAGACTAAGGAGCGCGGGATCCGGGGTGCCCGCGCGCAAAGAGCCTTGGGGGCTGTAGTCCCCCGCCCGGGCCTCGCCTCAACGCTGCAGAGCTAGGCAGAGCACGGAGACTACAACTCCCAGAGGGCAGCGCGCCTCCGCGATGTCCACAAGCTCCCATCAAAAGAACTGGTCCAGAACTGCACCCATAAACCCAGGCTTCTTTTCTCTACCAGGTAATTAATTACTTCAGTTCCACAGAGTAAGGCTTAGGACTCAGGGGTGAGGATCGCCTTACCTTCTCCAGGAGGCAAAGCCGCGTCCACACGCGCTGCCGCCATACTTCCCGCTTGCTAATAACCCCAAGCAACCGTCCTCCAGCGGCTCCACTTGTAGTCGGGCGGAGGGGCGGGAAACTACAGCTCCCAGGATGCACGGCGCTCAGACGGCCCAATTGGCTGCCTACACCTGATGCTGAAAACCCCGGATTAGAATCTGAGCTGCAGAGAGTGTAGGAACCCTGGTCAATTTATTCAGGTGAGCAAACTTTAACGTTAGATGATCCCTTTACGTCCTTTTGTAGGTATTTGCGAAATTTGACACTTTTACTGTCGGGCTGATTAGATGATCTCTACTTAATGCAGACCAAATTTGAGAGCTCATTTGCCAGGAGTCTTTTATTGGCTCTCCCTTCTTTGGACACTTCTGTATAAATGGAAAGTTTCCAACTCTGCTCTGGGAATGTGTTGGACGATCTTGTTGAGACCATCAAAATGGATACGTTTTATCTGAAAATTTAGTGAAAGCATGCTGGGATAGAAACTTTTCTCCGAGGTAGCAGGGTAATGAATGAGCTGGGAGAGAGATCCTGGACGCCCGGGAGGGTACCCGAGGAGCACAGGTTCGTACAAGTTTACAGCAATAGCAGAACCAGAATTTTTTGTCTGGTTCATCTGACCTGGGATCCTGAGGAAATGGACAAGGGATTTATTTAGTGAGGTTAGCTAAATATAGACATGGCTCTTAAAAAGAGAATCGCTGGATGTTCCTGGGCACAGTCCTACATGCCCAGGTGAAATCAGATACTATGGCTTTTGCATCTAAAATCATATCGCTACTCTTTAACTGAATTGCCTCATCTTGTATATATGCTACACAAGCTCACATTCATTTGGAAGCTAACTTCTAACCGATACCATGAACAACTCAACAAGGTAGCATTTTGGGCAGGCCCGAGTCCACAAGACAGTCAGTCTGTCCTTCCCATCAGCACAGTATACCTGATCTATGTGGCAGCTGATCACCCAGACTCATCTCCCTCATCTGTCATCTGCCCACTGCTACTGGCAGGGTCTAAGTAAAACAACACCTTTTATCGTGTTAATCCCCTTCTCACAAATTTCTCTCTTGAAATGGAGCTTTCAAGGACCACGAGAATCTGGCCTCACCCTACTTGCCACCATTCATTCCACTAGTTTCTACTTAGTGTTTCTGAGTTAGGGATTGAAAAATGAAACATGCTTTAGAAAGGTTAAGCTGCTCGTATAACAAGGGTGAATTGAAAAATAGAATAGTGGCAGGAAGGAGACTCTTGTATAGTGGATGGTAACCTTTAACAGAGCAGTTTCAGGAGAGTATTATATACAAGATTAGATAACACAAAGTTAAGAGACTAGGTAGAAAAGAAACAGCATTTGTGGATAGCTAAACTTTTCTCAACAAAACAAAGGAAGTTCTCTAATCAGGATGAGAATTTATATTTGAAAGAAGTAAGTACAATGAAGTGTGGTTTGTTTTGCTATCAAATCCAATGGCAATGCATTATATTTTTAGGCAATGAACCTCTATCTGTGCGACAAGAATACAATATATATATCGACATTACAAGACCAAGAAGTTTTCACAGTATCCCCAAATCAAAGAAAACTGTCAGAAAAATTAACTGGAATATCTCATCACAGTGAAATTTCTCCACAAAAAAGAAGAAAATGGAAGGAAGGAAGGAAGGAAGGAAGGAAGGAAGGAAGGAAGGAAGGAAGGAAGGAAGGAAATAAATGAGGCTGGAGCCATAGTAAGTTTCCAGGTGGCTTGTTAGCCATGCAGTATTGTTATTTACTTATGGCACATGGATTAAATGATAATTCGTTGTAGCAGCTGAAGAAATGTACAGTAATCAGAAAAAATAAACCTGATTAAGACCATTAGCCTTTGGGTGAGAACAGCTGCTTAAAGTGCTGAGGCCACTGGGAACAACATCAATAGTCAATTTAAATTATTTAGTGAAGGCAAGTTATTTTGAGTGGTTTTCTGGGTTCTTAATAAGTTGACAGGTGTTACTGATAATGTTCATTTGTACTTGTTTATTCAAAGAGTCAATGTTTGGAGTGACTGAATACTTAGCCTCTGTGAATTGGCTGCCAGCAACCAGTGAAAATATTTTTTTAAAAATTTGAGAAAACTCTAATTAAAACACCTAAGGTGAAGTCAGCTATAATGTGTTACAATTTATGTAAGCAGAAACAGGCTTATTTTGACAGGTTTCCACTTGTGAAAATGTAAGGAGTTTAAATCCTATGGTTATGACATTATTGTACTATATTATCAATTAACATGTATTTTGTGGAAAACATTTTAATTTTCCATGAATCACTGAACCAGTAGTTTCAACAATAAACTTCATTTGCTCTCATGGACTTAACTGTTGTCACTACACATATTTTGTCACAATCAGCAGCTAAATATCCTGACTTACCCTACCACACAGCATTTGATGACTTACCAGTGGTAACATTTTCTTGTGAGTTTTGTTTTTTAGCTCAGAGCCAGGATTGAAATTTTTTTCTGAGAAGAACCTCCTTTAACCACTATTATGGAACACTAACTGGGTGGCTTTAGAATTCATTTTTTGCTCATTGTGATCATCCAATGATATTTCTTAATGAATTCAACTAAACTTGTAAGACAACACAGCCCTTACATGCAAAACGTATTCTGTGGTAAAGGCATTTTGACAATAAAAGCAAGATCTCCATTCTCACACAGATTTGAAGTTTTATTTTTCATGCTCAAACTACAGGTTTAGCAGTATATTATAGAGACCTCAATGCAAATGCAAAAAAAATTTTTATATTTTAAGACCCATTTACTTGTGCCATTGAGCAGCTTTCACTTAACTTTAAATGAGAAATGATTGTATCTCCCACACTAAAAGAAAAATGTCCAGATAATAATCTAATCCTACCTAATAAAAGAGTAATATGCAAATTGACCATCACTCCAACACACAAGATGGCCACCCCCATGTGGTCACAAGATGGCCGGCAGGGGAGGGCAATTGGGGGCGATCAGGCCTGCAGGGGAGGGCAATGAGGGGCAACCAGGCCTGCAGTGGAGGACAGCTGGGGGGGGGGCGGGCAGGCCTGCAGGAGAGGGTAGTTGGGGGCAACCAGGCTGGCGAGGGAGGGCAGTTAGGGGTGACCGGGCCAGCAGGGCGGGACAGTTGGGGGCAATCTGGCCAGCAGAGGAGCAGTTAGGCATTGATCAAGCTGGCAGGGGAGTAGTTAGGGAGTGATCAGGCTAGCAGGCAGAAGCAGTTAGGGGCAATCAGGCAGGCAGACAGGCGTGCAGTTGGGGGCCAGCAGTCCTGGATTGTGAGAGGGATGTCTGACTGCCCATTTAGGCCCAATTGGGCCTAAATGGGCAGTCAGACATCCCTCGAGGGGTCCCAGATTGGAGAGGGTGCAGGCTGGGCTGTGGGACACACTCCCCTGCATGAATTCCATGCACTGGGCCTCTATAATTGCCTTCAAAGAGATTAAAATGCTCAATTTAAGTCGCATGCCCTTGGATTGATCTCAGTATTGGGCAGTGTTTATCTGGGTGAAAAGACTAAATTTGGGTAAAAGATTAAATGTTTAAAATTTCATTACAGATCAGGATTATCAGATGAACATTTGCATTTGATTTTGATGATAACTTTGAACCCTAATTAACCCCTTGAGTGCCAGGGAGCGCGATCGCGCTCCTGTCTTTCACCAAAAGTGCCGGGAGCGCTATCAAAGCTTCGAAATGGTGTCCAGTTCTAAGTCTGCTTTTATTAGTGACTAGAGGCCCGGTGCACAAAAATTTGTGCACTTGGGGGGAAGGAAGGGTCCCTCAGCCTGGCCTGTGCCCTCTTGCAGTCTGGGGCCCCTCGGGAGATAACGATCTGCTGGCTTAGGCCTGCTCCCGGGTGGCAGAGGGTAGGCCCAATCTCTAGGTGTAGCCCCTGGTCGGGTTCAGAGCAGGGCCGATTGGGGAGTTGGGGCGCCACCCCCTGTCATGAACAGAGCAAGGCTGATGCCACCCTCAGTCAGGCTTAGGGTAGGGCCGATGAGGGGGTTGGGGCACCATCCCCTGTCACACACAGGCAGGGTCGATGGGGAGGTTGCGGCGCCACCCCCTGTCACACACAGAGCAGGGCCAATCCGGGGGTTGGGGCACTGCCCCCTGTCACACACACAGCAGGGCCCATCAGGGGAG